GTGTGCTCAGGGTCGTGGAGTGTGTCCAGGGTCGTGGAGTGTGTCCAGGGTCGTGGAGTGAGTCCAGGGTCGTGGAGTGTGTCCAGGGTCGTGGAGTGTGTCAGGGTCGTGGAGTGTGTGTGTCGTGGGTGTCAGGGTCGAGTGTGTCAGGGTCGTGGAGTGTGCTCAGGGTCGTGGAGTGAGTCCAGGGTCGTGGAGTGTGTCCAGGGTCGTGGAGTGTGTCCAGGGTCGTGGAGTGTGTCCAGGGTCGGGGAGTGTGTCCAGGGTCGTGGAGTGTGCTCAGGGTCGTGGAGTGTGTCCAGGGTCGTGGAGTGTGTCCAGGGTCGTGGAGTGAGTCCAGGGTCGTGGAGTGTGTCCAGGGTCGTGGAGTGAGTGGTCAGGGTCGTGAGTGTGTCAGGGTCGGGAGTGTGTCCAGGGTCGTGGAGTGTGCCTCAGGGTCGTGGAGTGTGTCCAGGGTCGTGGAGTGTGCTCAGGGTCGTGGGAGTGTGTCCAGGGTCGTGGAGTGTCCAGGGTCCAGGGTCGTGGAGTGTGTCCAGGGTCGTGGAGTGTGCTCAGGGTCGTGGAGTGTGCTCAGGGTCGTGGAGTGTGCCCAGGGTCGTGGAGTGTGTCCAGGGTCGGGGAGTGGTGTCAGGGTCGTGGAGTGTGTTCAGGGTCCGTGGAGTGTGCTCAGGGTCGTGGAGTGAGTCAGTGGAGTGAGTCAGGGTCGTGGAGTGTGTCCAGGGTCGTGGGAGTGTGTCCAGGGTCGTGGAGTGTGTCCAGGGTCGTGGAGTGGTGTCCAGGGTCGTGGAGTGTGTCCAGGGTCGTGGAGTGTGCCCAGGGTCGTGTGTCCAGGGTGTGGAGGTGGTCGTGGAGTGTGTCCAGGGTCATCGAGTGTGTCCAGGGTCGTGGAGTGTGTGTGTCCAGGGTCGTGAGTGTGTCCAGGGTCATCGGAGTGTGCTCAGGGTCGTGGAGTGTGTCCAGGTGTCGGGTGGAGTGTGTCCAGGGTCGTGGAGTGTGTGGAGTGTGTCGGGGTGTGTCCAGGGTCGTGGAGTGTGTCAGGGTCGTGGAGTGTGTCCAGGGTCATCGAGTGGTTCAGGGTCGTGGAGTGTGCTCAGGGTCGTGGAGTGTGCTCAGGGTCGGGGAGTGGAGTGAGTCCAGGGTCGTGGAGTGAGTCCAGGGTCGTGGATGTGAGTCCAGGGTCGTGGAGTGTGTCCAGGGTCGGGGAGTGTGTCCAGGGTCGTGGAGTGTGTCCAGGGTCTGGAGTGTGTCCAGGGTCGTGGAGTGAGTCCAGGGTCGGGGAGTGAGTCCAGGGTCGTGGAGTGTGTCCAGGGTCGTGGAGTGAGTCCAGGGTCGTGGAGGTGTGTCCAGGGTCGTGGAGTGTGTCAGGGTCGTGGAGTGTGTCAGGGTCGTGGAGTGTGCCCAGGGTCGTGGAGTGTGCTCAGGGTCGTGGAGTGAGTCCAGGGTCGTGGAGTGTCCAGGGTCGTGGAGTGTGCTCAGGGTCGTGGAGTGTGTTCCAGGGTCGTGGAGTGTGCTCAGGGTCGTGGAGTGTGCTCAGGGTCGTGGAGTGGTGCCAGGGTCGTGGAGTGTGTCCAGGTCGTGGAGTGTGTTCCAGGGTCGTGGAGTGTCGTGGAGGTGTCGTGTGAGTGGAGTGTGCTCAGGGTCGTGGAGTGAGTCCAGGGTCGTGGAGTGTGTCAGGGTCGTGGAGTGTGTCCAGGGTCGGGGAGTGTGTCCAGGGTCGTGGAGTGTGTCCAGGGTCAGTGGGTCCAGGGTCGTGGAGTGTGTCCAGGGTCGTGGAGTGAGTCAGGGTCGTGGAGTGTGTCCAGGGTCGTGGAGTGAGTCCAGGTCGTGGAGGGTCGTGTGTCCAGGGTCGTGGAGTGTGCTCAGGGTCGTGGAGTGTGCCCAGGGTCGTGGAGTGTGCTCAGGGTCGTGGAGTGAGTCCAGGGTCGTGGAGTGAGTCCAGGGTCGTGGAGTGTGCTCAGGGTCGTGGAGTGTGTCCAGGGTCGTGGAGTGTGCTCAGGGTCGTGGAGTGTGGCTCAGGGTCGTGGAGTGTGCCTCAGGGTCGTGGAGTGTGCTCAGGGTCGTGGAGTGTGTCCAGGGTCATCGAGTGTGTCCAGGGTCGTGGAGTGTGTCCAGGGTCATCGAGTGTGTCCAGGGTCGTGGAGCGTGCTCAGGGTCGTGGAGTGTGTCCAGGGTCGTGGAGTGTGTCCAGGGTCATCGAGTGTGTCCAGGGTCGGGGAGTGTGCTCAGGGTCGTGGAGTGTGTCCAGGGTCGTGGAGTGTGCTCAGGGTCGTGGAGTGTGCTCAGGGTCGTGGAGTGTGTCCAGGGTGTGGAGTGTGTCGTCAGGGTCGGTGGATGTGTCGTGGAGGGTCGTGGAGTGTGTCCTGGGTCGTGGAGTGTGTCCAGGGTCGTGGAGTGTGTCCAGGGTCGGTGGAGTGTGGTCCAGGGTCGGGGAGTGTGCTCAGGGTCGTGGAGTGTGTCCAGGGTCGGGGAGAGTGTGTCCCAGGGTCGGGGAGTGTGCCAGGGTCGGGGAGTGGAGTGTCCAGGGTCGGGGAGTGTGCTCAGGGTCGTGGAGTGTGTCCAGGGGTGGGGAGTGTGTCCAGGGTCGTGGAGTGTGCTCAGGGTCGTGGAGTGTGTCCAGGGTCGGGGGAGGAGTGTGTCCAGGGTGTGGAGTGTGCTCAGGGTCGTGGAGTGTGTCCAGGGTCGTGGGGAGTGTGTCCAGGGTCGTGGAGTGTGGAGGGTCAGGTGTCAGGGTCGTGGCTCAGTGTGTGTGTCAGGGTCGGGGAGTGTGTCCAGGGTCGTGGAGTGTGTCAGGGTCAGTGTGTCGTGGAGTGTGCCCAGGGTCGTGGGAGTGTGTCGGGGAGTGTGTCCAGGGTCGGTGGAGTGTGCTCAGGGTGTGTCCAGGGTCGGGGAGGGTCGTGGAGTGTGTCCAGGGTCGGGGAGTGTGTCAGGGTCGTGGAGTGTGTGCTCAGGGTCGTGGAGTGTGTCCAGTGTGTCCAGGGTGGGAGTGTGCCAGGGTTGTGGAGTGTGTCCAGGGTCGGGGATGTGTCAGGGTCGTGGCTCAGTGGAGTGTCCAGGGTCGGGGAGTGTGCCCAGGGTCGGGGAGTGTGTCAGGGTCGAGTGTGTCAGGGTCGTGGAGTGTGGTCCAGGGTCGGTGGAGTGTGCTCAGGGTCGTGGAGTGTGTCCAGGGTCGGGGAGTGTGTTCAGGGTCGTGGAGTGTGCTCAGGGTCGTGGAGTGTCAGGGTCGTGGAGTGTGTCCAGTGGTGTGCGGGGAGTGTGTCCAGGGTCGGGGAGTGGAGTGGAGTGTGTCCAGGGTCGGGGAGTGTGCTCAGGGTTGTGGAGTGTGCTCAGGGTCGGGGAGTGGGTGTCCAGGGTCGGGGAGTGTGCTCCAGGGTCGTGGTGGAGTGTGTCAGGGTCAGGGTCGTGGAGTGTGTCAGGTGTCAGGGTCGTGGAGTGTGCTCAGGGTCGTGGAGTGTGCCCAGGGTCGTGGAGTGTGCTCAGGGTCGTGGAGTGTGTCCAGGGTCATCGAGTGTGTCCAGGGTCGTGGAGTGTGTCCAGGGTCATCGAGTGTGTCCAGGGTCGTGGAGTGTGCTCAGGGTCGTGGAGTGTGTCCAGGTCGTGGAGTGTGTCCAGGGTCATCGTCCAGGGAGTGTGTCCAGGGTCGGGGAGTGTGCTCAGGGTCGTGGAGTGTGTCCGTGGAGTGTGTCAGGGGTGGAGTGTGCCAGGGTCGTGGAGTGTGCTCAGGGTCGTGGAGTGTGTCCAGGTCGTGGAGTGGTCGTCCAGTGTGTCCAGGGTCGTGGAGTGTGTGGAGTGGTCCGTGTGTCCAGGGTCGTGGAGTGTGTCCAGGTCCAGGGTCGGGGAGGTGCTCAGTGTGTCGTGGAGTGTGTCCAGGGTCGGGGAGTGTGCTCAGGGTCGTGGAGTGTGCTCAGGGTCGTGGAGTGTGTCCAGGGTCGGGGAGTGTGCCCAGGGTCGGGGAGTGTGTCCAGGGTCGGTGGAGTGTGTCCAGGGTCGGGGAGTGTGCTCAGGGTCGGGGAGTGTGCTCAGGGTCGTGGAGTGTGTCCAGGGTCGGGGAGTGTGTCCAGGGTCGGGGAGTGTGCTCAGGGTCGTGGAGTGTGTCCAGGGTCGGGGAGTGTGTCCAGGGTCGGGGAGTGGAGTGGTGTGCTCTCAGGGTCGTGGAGTGTGTCAGGGTCGGGGAGGGTCAGGGGTGGAGTGTGTCAGGGTCGGGGAGTGTGTCAGGGTCGGGGAGTGTGCAGGGTCGGGGAGGGTCGGGGAGTGTGTCCAGGGTGGAGTGTGTCCAGGGTCGGGGAGTGTGCAGGGTCAGGGTCGGGGAGTGTCCTCAGGGTCGTGGAGTGTGTGTCGGGGAGTGTGGTCAGGTGTCAGGGTGGAGTGTGTCCAGGGTCGGGTGGGTCAGTGTGTCGTGGAGTGTCCAGGGTCGGGGAGTGTGTGAGTGTCAGGGTCGTGGAGGGTCGTGAGTGTGCTCAGGGTCGGGGAGGGTCGGTGGAGTGGAGTGTCCAGGGTCGTGGAGTGTGCTCAGGGGTCGGGGAGTGTGTCCAGGGTCGGGGAGTGTGCTCAGGGTGTGTGGAGTGTGTCAGGGTCGTGGAGTGTGTCCAGGGTCGGGGAGTGTGTGTCAGGGTCGTGGAGTGGAGTGTGTCCAGGGTCAGGGGGGAGTGTGTGTCAGGGTCGGGAGTGTGCTCAGGGTCGTGGAGTGTGAGTGTGTCAGGGTCGGGGAGTGTGTCCAGGGTCGGGAGTGTGTCAGGGTGTGGAGTGTGTCAGGGTCGGGGAGTGTGGGAGTGGTCAGGGTCGTGGAGTGTGTCTCAGGGTCGTGGAGTGTGTCCAGTGGAGTGTGTCAGGGTCGTGGAGTGTGTCCAGGGTCGGGGAGTGTGTCCAGGGTCGGGAGTGTGTCCAGGGTCGGGGAGTGTGCTCAGGTGTGTGTGGAGTGTGTCCGGAGGTGTCAGGGTCGTGGAGTGTGTGTCAGGGGGGAGTGTGCTCAGGGTCGTGGAGTGTGCTCAGGGTCGTGGAGTGTGTCCAGGGTCGGGGGGGAGTGTGTGTCCAGGGTCGGGGAGTGTGTCTCAGGGTCGTGGAGTGTGTCAGGGTCGTGGAGTGTGTCCAGGGTCGGGGAGTCGGGGAGTGTGTCAGGGTGGGGAGTGTGTCCAGGGTCGGGGAGTGTGCTCAGGGTTGTGGAGTGTGCTCAGGGTCGTGGAGTGTGTCCAGGGTCGGGGAGTGTGTCCAGGGTCGGGAGTGTGTCTCAGTGGTCAGGGTCGGGGAGTGTGTCAGGGTCGTGGAGTGGAGTGTGCCAGGGTCGGGGAGTGTGTCCAGGGTCGGGGAGTGTGTCCAGGGTCAGGGGGGAGTGTGCTCGGGGAGTGTGCTCAGGGTCGTGGAGTGTGTCAGGGTCGGGAGTGTGTGGGTCGGGGAGTGTGCTCAGGGTCGTGGAGTGTGTGTGTGTCCAGGTGTCGGGGAGTGTGTCCAGGGTCGTGGAGTGTGTCCAGGGTCGTGGAGTGTGTGGAGGTGTCAGTGGAGTCAGGGTGTGTGTCAGGGTCGGGGAGTGTGTGTGTCGGGAGTGTGTCAGGGTCGTGGAGTGTGTGTGGAGTGTGTCAGGGTCGGGGAGTGTGTCCGGGGAGTGGTCGGGGAGTGTGCTCAGGGTCGTGGAGTGTGTCCAGGGTCGGGGAGTGTGTCAGGGTCGTGGAGGGTCGGGGAGTGTGCTCAGGGTCGGGGAGTGTGCTCAGGGTCGTGGAGTGTGCCCAGGGTCGTGGAGTGTTTGTTCTTCGTGCTGCTGCAGGTGTTTCCGGCGTCTGTACTTCTACTTGAGGAGTGAAACCTTCTGCCTGTGGATGTCGGTGGTGATTTTTCGTGCTGTTTTTTATTTTTTTATTTCTGTCGTCAGCTACTGTTGTTTTCTTTGACCCGTTCGACGTCCGTTACTCAGAACAGTCGTTTCTTTCTTTTGCAGGATTGTTGTGTTTTCCGTGTCGTCTGTTTCTGGCTCTGACTGATTTTCCTTCTTTTCTCAGTTTCCACAGACGGATTTGCTCTTCATTTTGGTTTAAGGTCTTCAACAGGAAAAACAGAAATATTTAATGTCTGAACCTTAAAGGTCAAAGAGAAGCTCCTGTCACTCACATGTTCCAGTAGTTTTACGTGAAAAACGTTTGGGTTTAAACACAGTCTGGTTTGTCCCGAGTCGTTTCACATAAAAGTCGATGTTCTGAACTCAAGTCTCAGACTCTTCATCTCCAGGGAGCAGGATTCAGACTCTTTGCTCTTCTCGTCGTGACTGAGCTTCAGGGGCCCATGAGCGTCGCTGCCCAGGGGCCCCACGTGTGCTGAGCCGCTCCTGACGCTGATTAACCCTGATGCCCTCCCTCTGTTTCATTACCCCTGATGCCCTGGTGCCCGTCCTGTGCCCTTGTGCCCTTGTGCCCTGCAGTTGTTCCTGTTGGAGGAGATGAGGGAGAGGAAGTACAACGGCTTCGCTCGAGTCATTCAGAAAGCCTGGAGGAAACACGTCGCTGTGAGGAAGTACGTCCAGATGAGACAAGAAGGTGAGTCCTGGTTTATTCCTGGTCTAGTCTTGGTCTAGTCCTGGTTTAGACCCTGTCCTGACCCGGTCTTCCTCAGCCTCGGACATCCTGCTGAATAAGAAGGAGCGGCGCAGGAACAGTCTGAACCGGAACTTTGTGGGCGACTACCTGGGGCTGGACCAGCGCCCCGAGATCCGGACCTTCATCGGGAGGAGGGAGCGAGTCGAGTTCGCCGACGTGGTCCTCAAGTACGACCGGAGGTTCAGGGTGAGTCCACACCAGGTCCTCAAGTACGACCGGAGGTTCAGGGTGAGTCCACACCAGGTCCTCAAGTACGACCGGAGGTTCAGGGTGAGTCCACACCAGGTCCTCAAGTACGACCGGAGGTTCAGGGTGAGTCCACACCAGGTCCTCAAGTACGACCGGAGGTTCAGGGTGAGTCCACACCAGGTCCTCACGTACGACCGGAGGTTCAGGGTGAGTCCACACCAGGTCCTCACGTACGACCGGAGGTTCAGGGTGAGTCCACACCAGGTCCTCACGTACGACCGGAGGTTCAGGGTGAGTCCACACCAGGTCCTCACGTACGACCGGAGGTTCAGGGTGCGACTGGAGGTCCGGGTGTAAGTAAATGTCGGTCTGTAAATGTTTAGTTTATTTTTCTTGTTTTTTCCGTTTCAGAGCGTGAAGCGCGACCTCGTCCTGACCCCGAAATACCTGTATCTGATTGGACGAGAGAAAGTGAAGCAGGGACCAGACAAAGGACAGATCCAGGAGGTCCTCAAGAGGAAGATCGAGATCCAGAAGATCCAGTCCGTGTCCCTGAGGTGAGACCAGAGACCAGGACCAGAGACCAGAGACCAGAGACCAGAGACCAGAGACCAGAGACCAGAGACCAGGACCAGAGACCAGAGACCAGAGACCAGAGACCAGAGACCAGAGACCAGAGACCAGAGACCAGAGACCAGAGACCAGAGACCAGAGACCAGAGACCAGAGACCAGAGACCAGAGACCAGGACCAGAGACCAGGACCAGAGACCAGAGACCAGAGACCAGAGACCAGAGACCAGAGACCAGAGACCAGAGACCAGAGACCAGAGACCAGAGACCAGGACCAGAGACCAGAGACCAGAGACCAGACTGAGTTCTGAGATATTTTTATCTGGAAAATGTCAGTGGTCCTCACCGTCTGCTCTCGTCTGATTGGTCCTCACCGTCTGCTCTCGTCTGATTGGTCCGTAGCTGTCTCCAGGACGACCTGTTCGTGGTCCATGAGGAGGAGTACGACAGCGTCCTTCAGAGCGTCTTCAAAACGGAGCTCCTGAGTCTGATGGTCAAACGCTACAACGAAAAGATGGGCAAGAAGCTCCCGCTGAAGTTCAACAACCTGTAAGTCTGAACCTGGTCTGAACCCGGTCTGAACCCGGTCTCAACCAGGTCTCAACCCGGTCTCACCAGGTCTCAACCAGGTCTCAACCAGGTCTCAACCAGGTCTCAACCAGGTCTCAACCAAGTCTACCAGTTTAGTCCCGGTTCTGATTTGGTTTAGACCTGATTTAGACCTGATTTAGACCTGATTTAGTCCTGATTCAGACCTGGTTTAGTCCTGGTTCTGACCCGGTCTCTCAGTCTGGAGTTTAAGGTGAAGAAAGGAGGCTGGGGTCCGTTCACATCGGGCGGGTCCAGACAGATCCAGTTTTCTGTGGGTCACGGAGACGAGGCGGTTCTGAAACCCAGCGGAAAAGTTCTGCACGTGAGCATCGGCCCGGGACTGCCCAAGGACTCAAGTAAGACCAGTTTAAGTCCAGTTTAAGACCAGATTTGTTTTCGTCGTCATGGAGATAAAGCACTTTTTTTTTAAAGTGGTGAAACTGTTTGTGGTGCAGTGGAAATGTTCCAGAGTGTGTCTTTCTTTTGTCCCTGTGTTTTTCTGATTCTTAAAAAGTGATTTTGATTTTAGGACCGACTCGGAAAGACAACAGGAAGAGCCGCTACATCAGCCCCGCCCACAACGCCCACAACGCCAACAACGCCAACAACGCCAGACCGCAACACCGCACAGGTCCTCCTCCTCCTCCTCTTCCTCTTCCTCCTCTTCTCTTTCTCTGACCCTCTGCTCCTGTCGGTGCAGGTGCAGGTGCAGGTGCAGGTGCAGGTGACAGGCGTGTCTCCAGGGGTCTCTCTCTGCGTCAGTCGTCGATGGAGCAGCCGTCTCTGCCTCGTCTCCATGGAAACCGTCAGAGCATCCTGTCGCCACAGCAACCGCAGGACCTCACCTTCATGGAGGTCCCCGAGACCGGAGCCGCCGGGTGAGACCTGAGTCCCGGTCCCGGTCTAGTCCCGGTCTAGTCCCGGTTTAGTCCCGGTTTAGTCCCGGTCTAGTCCCGGTCTAGTCCCGGTCTGACCCTGTTGTCTTCAGGCTGCAGAGGAGGAGGTCTAAGGAGGTTCGCCCGGAGCCCGGTCGTGGTCGTCCAAAGCCGTCGCCGAAGCCCCGCCCCCGCACGCCGCAGTGTCGCGCTCTGTGGGCGTACGACGCTCAGGACACCGACGAACTCAGCTTCAACACGGACGACGTCATCGAGATCCTGTCCGAGGGTACGAGAACACGGCCCGCGCACATGCCAAGGCCCGCGCACACACTGAGGCCCGCGCACACGCCAAGGCCCACGCACACACTGAGGCCCGCGCACACGCCGAGGCCCGCGCACACACTGAGGCCCGCGCACACACTGACGCTGCAGTGATCTTGGCTGCGTTGAGCCGCTCTGATTGGTCGAGAGGCTCCAGGTCGCGCTGGTTCTGTTACAGTTCAAATGGATTTGACGATGTGGAGATTTGTGACGTTTAAATGTGAAAGTCTCGAGGAGCAGAACTGGAGTCGAGTCGAGTGTGTGACTCGTGTGTTTTGATTAGGGACGGGCAGGATTAGTCGATTAATCGATAATTGATCATTAAGAATTTCATGGATTCCGTTGATTTTAATGGACAAACTGAATGTATGTGTGTGTGTGTGTGTGTGTGTGTGTGTGTGTGTGTGTGTGTGTGTGTGTGTGTGTGTGTGTGTGTGTGTGTGTGTGTGTGTGTGTGTGTGTGTGTGTGTGTGTGTGTGTGTGTGTGTGTGTGTCGTGACCAAACAGGTGTGTACATGTGTCTCTGCATCAGAAGGAGCGAGACACAAACAGTGGGTCAGTCTGTAACGAACCGAAGCACAAATGTGGATTTAACCAGGATTTGTAGAAGAAATTCCACACTTTCCGTTGCGTTGGGACAAGTGTGAGTCCATGTGCACAGTGGATAAAGCAGCACATATGTTTCTGTGTCCAGTGGGAAAAAGTTTTTCCAGGTGAGAGTCGCTCAATGTGGATGACGAGGCCCCGCCCCCCTCCCCCCGTACGCTGTCCTGGTTTTGACAAACACAAATCTGGTCACACTGACCTGTATTCACCTGAGTCATGTCTTTTAATCCAACACAAGTTGAACCACATCAGCGACACAAGAGCTGGAGTTTTATCTTCACTTAGTTTATGTAAATTAGTGATGTGGTTTTAAGTTTTGTTTCTGTGAGATTTGAACAAAACTGAATTAAACACATTATAATGTCAAACAGCTGATGTGGATCTAGAGTCGTTATGTTTATATGTCGTAAAGTTGAATTTATTGATGCAGATTAGTGCAGATAGTAATAATAATGATGATCATTTTAATAGAAAAACGTTCATGATTAATCGATAATCGATCGTTAATTCTTCCGACGATCGATTAATGAAATTTCATCGAATGCCTGTCATTAGTTTTGTTCTTTTCTTTTGATAGTTTGGGATAAATTGTTCATGAAGAATGTTTCATGTTTGTGGAGTTGTAGGTTGAAGATTTGTGAAGCGTTTGCAGCTTTGGAAAAACTCAAAATAAAGTTACTTAAACTTGAGAATGAAACAAACACAAACTGGGCTCTCTTCTCCACAGACGCGAGCGGGTGGTGGTTCGGGCGTCTCCGCGGCCGAGAGGGAATGTTCCCCGGAAACTACGTGGAGAAGATTTAAGACGAGATGTTTCCGGAAACTTGGTGGAGAAGATTTCAGACGAGCCCAAGAACACGTTTTATCTCTCGAGCTTTTTTCTGTTGTGACTGAATCGTCTTTTATAAACTCGTCAGTTAAACTCGTGTCTGTGTCCGACTCTTTTCTTCTCACATTTGTTTAAACGCTGGGGCGGCTCTACGTGTGTGTCTATGGTGGAAAGTTCAGGCGCCTGAAGAAATGAGACGTCTGATCAAACTGTTTTAATGTGCAATAAAAAAAGAGACAAAGACACAAAGAGACGGTTAGGGTTAGTTCAGTCACTGTCCACAGGAGGAGACGAGATGAGGGAGAGAGGACAGAGGAGACAGAGGAGGACAGAGGAGACAGAGGAGGACAGAGGAGGACAGAGGAGGAGGGACAGAGGAGACAGAGGAGGACAGAGAGACAGAGAGGACAGAGAGGACAGAGGAGACAGAGGACAGAGGAGACAGAGGAGACAGAGGAGGACAGAGGAGACAGAGGAGACAGAGGAGACAGAGGAGACAGAGGAGACAGAGGAGGACAGAGGAGACAGAGGAGGACAGAGGAGACAGAGGAGACAGAGGAGGACAGAGGAGGACAGAGGAGGACAGAGGAGGACAGAGGAGACAGAGGAGACAGAGAAGGACAGAGGAGACAGAGGAGGACAGAGGAGACAGAGGAGGACAGAGACAGAGGACAGAGAGGAGGACAGAGGAGGACAGAGAGACAGAGGACAGAGGAGACAGAGGAGACAGAGGAGACAGAGGAGACAGAGAGGACAGAGAGGAGGACAGAGGAGGAGAGAGGACAGAGGAGACAGAGGAGACAGAGGACAGAGGAGACAGAGGAGGACAGAGAGGAGGACAGAGGAGACAGAGGACAGAGGAGGACAGAGAGAGGAGAGAGGAGAGGACAGAGGAGACAGAGGAGACAGAGGAGGAGACAGAGGAGGACAGAGGAGGACAGAGGACAGGAGGACAGAGGACAGAGGAGGAGACAGAGGAGACAGAGGAGACAGAGGAGACAGAGGAGACAGAGGAGACAGAGGAGACAGAGGAGGACAGAGGAGACAGAGAGGACAGAGGAGACAGAGGAGACAGAGGAGACAGAGGAGACAGAGGAGGACAGGACTGGGAGGCGTCTCAGATTCACACATTTTCCACAAATTTAAATTAAACACAAAACAACATTCAGTTCATTAAAACAACTAAAACTCTTTTGTTCAGGTTTAGACCAGGTCCTGGGTCAGATCCAGTCTTGGTCTTGCATAGTTTTCACTGTCAACAGCTACTTCTCCAGGTTAGACTTGATTTAGTCCTGGTTTAGTCCTGGTTTTTGGTGATTCTTTGGGTGAGGTACAGGAGCCGTCGCAGAGGCTGAATGAGTCCAGGTTTAGTCCTGGTTTAGTTCACTTGAAGTTCTGCTCTAGTCCAGATCTAGTCCAGATCTAGTCCCGGTCACATGATGCCGTTGGTGAGGTCCAGGTCCAGGTCCTGGTCCTGGTCCTGGTCCTGGTCCAGGTCCTGGTCCTGGTCCTGGTCCTGGTCACATGATGCCGTTGGTGAGGTACTGGAAGCCGTCGTACAGTCGGGTCGTCAGGGACCTCATGGAGCCCTGGACCAGAGTTTCCACGAGGACCTGGAGCTGCTCCTCCGTCAGACTCATGTGGAACCTTTCCTTCAGGGACCTGAGGGTGGAGCTGCCGTGGAAACAGGCCAGCTGAGACCCTGCGAGGGCAAGACCGGTTAGGATCCTCAGAGAAACCCAAACCCGGTTCAGATCCTGCTCTAGACCGGTTAGGATCCTCAGAGAAACCCAAACCCGGTTCAGATCCTGCTCTAGACCGGTTAGGATCCTCAGAGAAACCCAAACCCGGTTCAGATCCTGCTCTAGACCAGTTAAACCCTCCCTGTGTTTAAAACTCAAATCTCATCCCCCATAAAGCTCCTCAGACCCCTGTAAATCCGGTTATGATCCTGCTGTAGACCTGTTTAAACCCTTGTAAATCTGGTTATGATCCTGCTGTAGACCTGTTTAAACCCTTGTAAATCTGGTTATGATCCTGCTGTAGACCTGTTTAAACCCTTGTAAATCTGGTTATGATCCTGCTGTAGACCTGTTTAAACCCTTGTAAATCTGGTTATGATCCTGCTGTAGACCTGTTTAAACCCTTGTAAATCCGGTTATGATCCTGCTGGTACCTTGCTGCATGATCTCCACGATCTGTAGAACTTTGTCCATGTGTTTCCGAGCGGCGATGAGTCCCTGAAGCATCAACATCTTATAATAATTAAACATGTCTCCGTCCGGACCACCCATCACCTGCAAGAGACCGGGTTTACCGGGTTTAGACCGGGTTTAGACCGGGTTTAGACCGGGTTTAGACCAGGACTAGACCAGGGTTTAGACCGGGACTAAATCGAGACTAAAGCGGGACTTACATCCACAAACTCGGTGGTGAGTTTGAAGGCGGACGTCTCGAAGCCGAGGTTGCGCGGGGAACTGGACAAGATGAAGCCGAAGTCGATGTGGATGATGTGTCCCTCAGAGTCCAGCAAGATGTTCCCATTGTGTCTGAAAGACGAGACAGACTGGGTTCAGTCCTGGTTCAGTCCGGGTTCAGTCCTGGTTCAGTCCTGGTTCAGTCCTGGTTCAGTCCTGGTTCAGTCCTGGTTCAGTCTCACCTGTCCTTGACCTGCAGCAGGTAGCAGACCAGAGAGTACCCGGCGCAGGACTCCACGAAGGCCCTCTGTGCGCTCAGGAACCCCTCTGAGGTCTGAGGACCGTGCTCCTGGACCATGAAGTCCAGCAGAGGGACCTGACTCTGCTTCTTGACCTGATGCAGAGACACGGCGTTCAGAACCGGCTCGATCATCCCAGAGTCCGACGACAGAACCAGGATCCGGTACGGCCGGATCCAAAGAGGAACCCGCTCCTGCTGCCAGACCCACTGAGGAGAGACCAGAGACCGGGTTCAGACCCGAGACCGACCCGAGACCGGACCCGAGACCGACCCGAGACCGACCCGAGACCGGGGCCTCACCTGTAGGACCTGCAGCACCTGGAAGGCGAGCAGCTCCTGCCTCAGGTCGTCTCCACACTTGACGATCACAGACAGAAGCCTCCAGGTCGGCAGGTGCCCGTACGGAGACGCCTCCCGAATCCTCCTGCAAAACCCAACAAAACCGGTTAGGATTCTGATCTGGACCTGACCCTGATCCTCCTCTAGTCCTGGTCCGGTCCTGGTCTCGTACCGGACTTTCTCCTCCCAGGGTTCTTTGAGGGCCACGGCTGACGGGTCTTCAGGGTCTTTCCTGAACGAGGTCGGAGTCTGAGCCAACTGCTCCGACAGGCGCCTCCTGCAGGAACACACGACCGTTACACACACACGCGACCGTTACACACACGCGACCGTTACACACACGCGACCGTTTTACACAACACGACGTTAACACGCGACCGTTACACACACACACGCGACCGTTACACACACGCGACCGTTACACACACGACCGTTACACACGCGACCGTTACACACACGACCGTTACACACACACGACCGTTACACACACGCGACCGTTACACACACGCGACCACGCGACCGTTACACACACGCGACCGTTACACACACGCGACCGTTACACACACGCGACCGTTACACACGCGACCGTTACACACACGCGACCGTTACACACACACGCGACCGTTACACACACGCGACCGTTACACACACGCGACCGTTACACACACGCGACCGTTACACACACGTTACACACACGACCGTTACACACACGCGACCGTTACACACACAACCGTTACACACACGCGACCGTTACACACGCGACCGTTACACACACGCGACCGTTCAACACACGACCGTTACGCACACGCGACCGTTACGCACACGCGACCGTTACGCACGTGACCGTTACGCACGTGACCGTTACACACACGACCGTTACACACACGACCGTTACACACACGACCGTTACACACACGACCGTTACACACGCGACCGTTACACACACAAATATTACACACACGACCGTTACACACACGACCATTACACACACGAATATTACACACGTGACCGTTACACACGCGAATATTACACACACGACCATTACACACACTGACCGTTACACACGTGACCGTTACACACGCGACCGTTACACACGCGACCGTTACACACGCGACCGTTACACACACAAATATTACACACACGAATATTACACACACGAATATTACACACGTGACCGTTACACACGTGACCGTTACACACGCGACCGTTACACACGCGACCGTTACACACGCAAATATTACACACACGGCCGTTACACACACGAATATTACACACACGACCGTTACACACACAACCGTTACACACACGACCGTTACACACACGACCGTTACACACACGACCGTTACACACACGAATATTACACACACAAATATTACACACACG